GCTAATAACATTCTAATTGCTTCCATCCTAGCTACGGGAGCGTATGTTTCATCATAGTCTATGCCTTCTTCTTGAGTATAGCCTTGAGCAACAAGTCTAGCCTTGTTCCTCACTATATTACCACTTTTATCAAGTTTATTTCTAAAAACCCATCTAGTACATACAGTAGATTTATTACTAGGCCTTTCAACTAATGTCCATACTTTACTTCTCTCAAATTGATTTAATTCTTCTTGCATAGCCATATCCAATGTTCATCTTTTAATGCTTCTTGATGTTCTTAGGCTCTATGCATGAAATAAATGCAACATAATTACAGATATTTCTAAGAGAAGATCGAGTAGTTACCCCTTTTGATGGATCACCTATAATTTCACCATCCTTGACATAGTTGTACTCTCTTGGAAAAGATACTTCCCTTTCTTCAATGGTTGGATTCTCGAGGGGATCATGAGTTTCCTCATCTTTTGTTTCTTCCTTTGATGATGATTCTCCAACGTCATGTCTAACGTCATTTGCTTGTACAATACCTACATCATCATTAACAGAAGAATCCTTCCTCGGAAGGGGATTATCATCGAAAACAACATGTATAGACTCTTCTACAACTAAAGTTCTTTTATTAAATACACGATAAGCTTTAGAATTTAAGAAATAACCCAGAAAAATTCCTTCATCACTTTTAGCATCAAATTTACCAAGATTTTCTTTACCGTTGTTTAAAACAAAACATTTACATCCAAAAGGATGAAAATAGCTAATGTTAGGCTTTTTATTTTTGAGAATTTCATATGGAGTTTTCTTTAAAATTGGCCTATTCATTACTCGATTTACAACATAACAAGAGGTATTTGTGGCTTCCGCCCAAAAATATTTTGGCAAATTATTTTCACAAAGCATGGTTCTAGCCATTTCTTCTAAAGTTCGATTTTTCCTCTCAACAACTCCATTTTGTTGAGGGGTTCTAGGTGCTGAAAAATTGTGACTAATACCATTAGAATTACAAAACTCAATAAATCCAAGATTTTCAAATTCAGTTCCATGATCACTTCTAACACTAGTGATAGAGTAACCTTTTTCATTTTGGATTATTTTTGAAAATGTGATGAAATTTTCTAATGCTTCATCTTTAGTACTTAAGAATAGAACCCAAGTGTATCTAGAATAGTCATCTACCAAGACAAATGCATATTGTTTTCCTCCCAAGCTAGTAGTTCTAGTTGGCCCAAAAAGATCTAAATGGATCAATTGTAATACTCTACTAGTTGATACATCATTAATAGATTTAAAAGAAGCTCGTTTTTGTTTTCCTTTAGCACAAGCATCACAGATTTTATCATTATCAAATTTAAGCTTAGGCAACCCTCGAACTAAATCACCTTGAATTAGCCGTTGCAAAACACTCATACTAGCATGTCCTAGTCTCCTATGCCATAACCAACTATCATGTTCATCCTTAGCAACTAGGCATAAATTAGTCATATCAATAGAATCTAAATGCACCATGTAAATGTTTTCTATTCTATGACCAATAAGCATAATCCGATTAGATGCAATGTCAATAACTTTACAACCATTAATTTCAAACAAGACATTGAATCCCTTATCGCATAATTGACTAATACTTAATAGATTATGCTTTAATCCATTCACATATAAAACATTTTTAATTTGTATGGAAGAGGTATTACCTATTGTACCAATACCTTCAATGTGACCTTTTGAATTATCACCAAAAGTCACTTCTCCTCCATTTTTGACGTTAAGCTCTATGAACCGGCTTTTGTCTCCGGTCATGTGTCTTGAGCATCCACTATCAAGGTACCATGAATTTGAATTTGTTTCCCGTGCCTTGTAGCAATGCTCCTTTCCCTTAGAATCTTCCCCAAATGCCATTAAGCACAAGTTTGCTACTTCTTGTTCTTCTTCATCGGAACCTTCTTCATCGCTCCATGTAGCCACATGAGCCTTGTGCTTATTCTTTGATTGACCCTTCTTCTTCAATTGTGGGCAATCATATTTGACATGCCCTGGTTTTTTGCATTCATAACAAATGATCGGGTCCTTCTCTTTTGGTTCATCTTTGAGGCCTTCATTTCGTTTGAATTTTCTTCCTCGGTAAGGTCTCATCATTTTTCTGAACCGTTTGGCAAATAATGCCATTTCCTCGTCATCATCATCATCATTAGAATCACTCTCATCTTTTGTGGATTTGAGAGCAACTCCAATGTTTTTTTTCTTATCCTTCTCCTTTGGTGTCTCTTCAACTTTATCAAGGTCCACCTCATCTTCAAGCATCATTTCATGAGTGAGGAGTGAACCGATAAGTTCTTCAAGAGTTAAGGACGATAGGTCCTTAGACTCGATGATTGCCGTCTTCTTTGATTGCCATGATTTTGGGAGGGAGTAGACTAACTTCCTCACAAGCTTTTCATTTGAGATGATCTCTCCATATGATTTGAGACCATTGAAAATCGTTGAAAATCTATCCGTCATAGCTTTGATGTCTTCATTTGGTTTCATCTTGAAATTTTCATAGCTATGCGTTAGAATACTAATTTTTGATTTCTTTACCTCATCGGTACCTTCATGTGTGACTTGAAGCTTGTCCCATATTTCTTTGGCGGTTGTACACGATGAAACTCTTCCGTATTCATCTGGTCCAAGAGCACAAAAGATAATATGGATGGCTTTGGAGTTGAGCTGGAACATTTTTGTATCTCCTTCACTCCACAACCTTGGATGAGTGATAGGCTTAATGTATCCTTCTTCTACGGCATTCCATGCTCCCATGTCACTTGCTTGAATGAAGTACATCATTCTATTCTTCCAATAGGCGTAGTTAGCTCCATTGAAGAAATGAGGCTTGTTCACGGGCATCGAATCGAGACCGGAGTCGAAGTTTGAAGTGGAGGCCATTGATGACTTTGTAATCGATGTAACTCTTCCCGGATCGACTCAAGAGGCGATTAAACCTTCAAATGAGTTAGGCTCTGATGCCAATTGTTGAGTTAATCGAATGACGAAATTGGCCAAGAGGGGGGTGAATTGCAATAAAAATTTTGTGGAAGCTTTTGCAGAAAATTGAAAGTAATTGCACAGCGATTTACAATGGTTCGACTTTCTCAAACAAAGTCTACGTCCACTACCTTAGCTATCCACACTAAGGATTTTCCAACAAATTCACTAATTTGTTCTTTCTTTTGAGGCCAAAGAGATAACCTTACAATTCCCTTAAGAGTATACCCCAACTCTTGAGAACACTCTTTTCTCAAAGAGAAGATTACAAATTTGCAAACTTACAAGAAAACCTCACAAGGTAAGATGTTTGCACAATTCTAGAACAAGAAAAGAACACTCAAAGAAAATTACAAATGAGTACAATAAGTGTTCTTTGAAAGCAAAATGAATATTGAATGAAAATTGGCTTGAATTGCACAAACTTTGTGTTTGATGCTTTCTCTCTTGTTTCTCTATGATTTTCTTGCTGATCAAGGGCTTCAGAACTTGTTTAAATACACATTGGATCACTTCTGAACGTTGGGGATGATTAGAGAAGATATTATAGCCGTTTTAGTGTGAAAACATTTAATAAAACAGCTTGGAGCGTGGGGGGAATCGGTTCCCCTCATAGGGAATCGGTTCCCTAAGTGTAAAATTCAAATATTTCGACCGTTGTACAAGGGGGAATCGGTACCCCCTTGGGGGGAATCGGTTCCCTCCGAGCATTCTGGAAATCTCGGAGCCAAACCATTCAGGGGGGAATCGGTTCCTCCTATGGGGGGAATCGGTTCCCTCTGAGCAATCTGGAATTTTTGGCTTTAAATTGGTTCGAAATACTTTGTAAAATTATTTTGAAATTGTTTTATTATTAAAACTTAATTTTACACTTAAGTAATGATTAGAAATGATTTTTGAAATATTTGGAGTAATGTTTTGATATTCGAATAGTTATATCAAATATACTTAGAAAATCATTTGGAAAATCTTAAAATCCATTTAACTTAATTTGTTATATCGAAATATCAAAATGTTTCAACAAATACCGTTTTGAAAAACCCAAATATATACCAGAACGACGTCGTTTCGAATCCATTATAAAAACTTTTTCCTTTTTTATTTCTTTTTCTTTTTCTTCCCCCCATTTTCTCTCTACTTTGTAACTTGTTGTCGATTCTGGCTAACACACAATTTTCATTCCGGCCACCATCCACCATCGTTGATGGTGGCCATTTTGTCCCAAATTTCATGGGTCGGTTCATCTCGACCCCCTAAGTATGAATTTATTGGTTGTTTCACCGAAAAATGTCTCAAAACTCATGAATATAGGCTGAAAATTTTCAACTTCCTCACTTCTAATCTCAAATTTGTGGACTTTAGAGTAAGTTCCGACAAAATAGAGGTCGAATTCAAACTGACGGTGTCGAGGCGAAGTGACCCACTTTCAATTTTTTGTTATTTTTTTAATTATTTTATATTAAAAATAAATAAAAAAATACCATATCATCAAAAAGTTAGAGATAATGGGAAATTGAGCAAAATGATTTAATTTGTAAAGTTCAGTAAGTAAATTAAAAATATTGAAAGTTGGCTGAGGAAAATAGAAGAGCGAGTATAGTTAAAAGAAAAACGGTGTATTTTTCCCTAATAGTTATTATGTACATACTTTTTATTTTCACAATTGTGATTATAACTATAGATATATTTATAATTTGAAAGACAAAAAAAAAGGTCAGTTTTTGGTATTGTTTGAAGCTACGAACACCTCTCCTCCGTAATTAAAATATTTAAAAAAACTCAATTAACTGGATAATCAATGTATCGTAATTAAGCTTGTTAAGTTAAAAATTGAATCACTTAAATTAACGAGGACGTGCAAAATTCAGTTGGCTCAAAGCGGTCTCCACTTCCAATCACAGTAGCAGCAATGTAAGCTTTCAACTTTTTTGCAACTGTAACCGATTCTTTCTCTGAATTACATATATTCTTTCTTCATATTCTCTATTGCTTCCCCTAGTTAGTATGCAAGAATTTGGAATTAAATCTTCTGATTGTTTTTTCTTTATCCTTTAGAAGATATCAGTCAGCTAATAAGATCTACTTGTTAGATTTTAGGGTTTAAATTTAACCCGAATAGTTCGGAAAACCCTAGTTTAACTGTGATAGTGAAATGAAATTATGGGTTTATTGTTTTCGTGTAAAGTTGTGATAAAAAATAGGAGCAATTCAAGGAAAGCTTTTCAATGGCCTTCTACTATGAATTTTATAAGTGAATCCCAGCAGCAGATTTTGCTAGTAAATGAAGCTTGCCATGGCGACGGTAAGGTAGTGTGTTAATTTAGCTATTTATTAGTTCATGGATGAGTATTATAACATGTTTCTGCTCTGTTGCAATGGCCGTTAGTGTTAGGATTAACCAAGGAAATGACTATTTATTCATTAATTTCCCGTGGCTAGTAGGTGCGCACAGAACTCTTTTGTTGGAACAACTTGCTTTTATATTCTCTGTTCTTACATATGCTAGAAGATGGGCTTTGTATAGAGTCTGGAAGAAGAATAAGTCACTGGTATAGTAGTCTGCTTCAAAAAATAAATAGTAAGGAAAATTTCTCCTTCGATGAACATAAATAATAAGGAAATTTTCTCCTCTAATGCACAAAAATTGAACTTTGATACTATGTTTCATCTGGCTGCTATTGATTTTGTATTCATCTTAGTTTTCAGGCATCTGTACTGAGCATGATCTGTTGTTAAAACAAGTGCAATGCTTTCCATGGATATAGATCTTGAGGTGCCTTCAAAAGAAGAAGAGAAGTTAATTCCAGGATCAGATGAAAATGCTGATGTCATGGACGTAGAAGATGATGATGGAACTCCTCCTGCAACCACTGAGCATGCAGTGGAAGCATGTGAACCAAATTTGATGGAGAGTTTTGCTGGTTGTGAGAACCAGGTGGATGTGCCTATTGCTGAAGCCAACGTCAGCAAAGGTGCCATTCTTGAGCCTCAAAATGGTATGGACTTTGAGTCAAAGGAAGCAGCATATTCTTTTTACCAAGAGTATGCTCGGTCAGTGGGATTTGGAATCACAATAGTTTCTAGTCGTCGTTCAAAAAGATCTGGAAAATTTATTGATGTAAAAGTTGCATGTTCTAGATTTGGAAGCAAGCGTGAATCTAACAAAACTCTCAATCCTCGGTCATGTCCAAAGACTGGCTGCAAAGCACGCATGCATATGAAGAGGAGGCAAGATGAAAAATGGATAATCCATAGTTTTGTGAAAGAGCATAACCATGAAATTTGTCCTGATGACTTTTACTATGCTATTAGGGGAAGGAGCAAACAGCCTGATGCAGTGGCATGCCAAAAGAAAGGCCTGCAGCTGGTTCTAGATGAGAAAGATGTAGAACTGATGCTTGATTTTTTTATGTGTATGAAGGATGAGAATCCAGATTCCTTTTATGCAATGGATTTTGATAATGAAAAATGTGTAAGGAGTGTGTTCTGGGTTGATGCAAGAGGTAGACATAATTACAGTCACTTTGGTGATGTGGTATTTTTTGATACCTTTTTTGTTAGAAACAAATACAAGATTCCTTACATTCCTATTATTGGAGTAAATCATCACTTCCAGTACGTGTTGCTTGGATGTGCTCTTATTGGGGAGAGTACTACATCAGCTTTTGTTTGGCTAATGCATACATGGCTTAAAGCAATGGGTGGCAAAGTTCCTAAAGTGGTACTTACTGATCAGGACAAAGTTTTGAATGAAGCTATTGCTGATGTGTTTTCCAACTCTCGCCATTGTTTCTGTTTGTGGCATGTACTATGTAAGTTTCCTGAGAATTCAGGTTGTATTATGAATCAGAATGAGAATTTCATGAAAAAGTTCAATAAATGCATATATAGGTCTTGGACACATGAACAGTTTGAAGAGAGATGGTATAGGATGGTTGACAAGTTTGAGCTGAAGGAACATGAATGGGTTCTTTCATTGTATAATGATCGGGAAAAGTGGGCTCCTATCTATATGCGGCATGTATTTTTAGCTGGAATATCTTCGACTGAGCGATCTGAAAGTGTTGCATCTTTCTTTGATAAGTTCATGCATAAAGCAGCTACATTCAGTGAGTTCATTGGGCAGCTTAAATCTTTCTCAATAGAGTTGTATGAAATGGAAGCCAAAGCTGATTTTGAAACACAAAATAAGCAACCTTTATTGAGATCTGTCTCAGCTTTTGAGAAGCAGATGTCCATGATCTATACAGATACAGTATTCAAGAAATTTCAGGCTGAGATTTTGGGAATGGTGTCTTGTCACCTACAGAAGGAAAGTGAAGATGAGGACACTGTTTTCTTTCGCGTTGATGATTTTGAAGAACGTCAAAATTTCCTTGTAGTTTGGAGCAAAAGAGAATTTGATATATGCTGTTTATGCCGTTCATTTGAATACAAAGGTTTCCTTTGTAAGCATTCCCTCCTTGTTCTTCAGATGTCTGGTGTTTCTGACATTCCATGCCACTATATATTAAAACGTTGGACCAAAGAGGCAAAGATTAGGCAAAATCTAGGTGAAAAATCAAACAGGCTTCATTATCGTGTGCAACGATTCAATGATCTATGCAAGCGGGCCATCGAATTGGGTGAAGAAGGTTCTTTATCTGAAGAAGCATATGGTATTGCACTACAAGCATTGGAAGAAGCCTTGAAATATTCTGTGGGTGTGAACAACTCTGGTAAAGTGTTTTGAGGCAAGAACACTACCAGTTAATGGTTTTCTTGAGACTGAAGCAGAGAATCATTGGAATGCTACAACCAAGTCATCTAAGAAGAAGAAAGCATACAAAAAGAGAAAGGTCCGTTTAGGCTCAATGTTTGACATGCAGATTCTTAAACTGTACTTCGGAAATATTATAGGCTTTTTGAAATGACCATTTTTCTACTGTAGGTTCAGTTTGAGTCCGAAGGAATAACTATGGGAAAATACAGCTGCCAGCAGATGGTTTGTTGTCTTACAATACACAATGGATTGCAACATTAGCATAGAAAATATTAATAATCATTTTTTGTTTTTTTGTAACAGATAAGCTCAAGAGCAAACAAGCTATATGGTTGTTCTGTTTCTCAGCGGGACATTCATGGGATGGTATGCAATGTCCTTTACCCAAACACAGTGGTTTATTTTGATGAAGCTTGCTAGCCATATGAATATATGTTTGGTATTTGATATGAATTTTGTAGGAAGTAAGCTCTAGAGCCTCAACTCTTGATGGTTACTATGGTGCTGAACAGAATATTCAAGGAATGGTATTGGAGTCTCTTAACATCACGTTATATATTAACATTCATTCTCTACCTTCAAATTGTAGACAAGGTTATCATGATTATAAGATAGCCTTATCAGTTTTGTTCTTTCTGCAGGGACAGTTGAACTCAATCCCTCCATTCCGTGGTGGTTATTATAACAATCAACAAAACTTATCAGGGCTGGTATGTCCGGATGTTAAGATTTTCCAGCAGAATGTTTTGAAAGCAATACATTGCTCTAATTAAATGCTTTTTCAATCTATTAACTATTTTTAGGGACAGCTACATTCACTAGCAGCCCTTGATAATCACTATGGAAACCAACAGAGTATGCAGGCACTGGTACTGAACTTGCTGGAGATCACTGCCTCCTTTTCTTTTCAAGCTTTTGTTTAATGAAATTGTTTCTTTTTAAACATTCAAGTGATTCAGAATCTGAAGCGATTCCCCCCGGAACATTGTTGCAGGCTCATCTTCCCTTTAGAGCCCCGACCATGCAGGGTTTTGACATTCAAGAAGGTTTGCAAGACGAGGTATGCACCTTATGGGGATAAACGTTATAATCGGCTCGGTCAATAATGATGGATGCCTTTATTATGAACTCATTACTCTGATTGCAGGAACGGTCCCTGGACTCAACTCATTTTCATGGCATTGCATCAAAACATCTTCATGATAAGCTCCTATAGTAGTCGCAATAGTAGCATTTCTGTACATTTATACGAAGAAGTCGATGTAAACAATTTTCAACACATCATTGGATCAGTAGGATAAGAGTTTATTCCTTTAGGGTTGCCAACATCTACAGGTCAAGATTATGACCTTCCTTTTTCCAGTTACAGTTAAATCGAAGTTGTAATTCTATTCAAATAATTATGTGTTATTGGTATTCGATAATATTATAACGTACATAAATTCATAATAATCACGTTGAACATTCAGTAAAATGCTGAATATTAAGTTATATAAATTGGATTTAATCTCTACCATTTCTAGACCAAGCCCATGATTTACCTTTCTTTTCCAGAAAGTTCAAAATAATATTTATACACTTTCCGCAAGTTAGATACAATGGTGAAGAAGCTCAAATTCTTGGTGAAAGTCAATTCCCATTAGACCTCTTCTTTAGCTTGCACCACAATCCATTCTTGGTGTGTATTGTTGCTCCTGTAACCAGCTCTACAGATTCAGGGGGTCCTTTCAGTTCCACATCAAACTTTGCAACAACACGGCCAATGCCACGGTTGATTCCATGAGGGCAAATTGATCTCCGATGCACTTCCTTGGTCCTCCACCGAAGGGTAAGAAAGCGAAATCTGATATAATCTGATAGTTGAAAATAATAACAAACTTGCATATAAGAAACATGAATTTGAGCATGGTTTGGTTTGATTAAAACATTAAGCTTATGATGATAAACCTCATTAGGGTATAATGCTCCAGGGCTTCTAGACGGATCAAAACCAGCCCATCCTTCAATGCCTCCGCTCTCCTTTTGTTCTAGAAACCTCTCCGGAACAAATTCATGGGGCTTGTCCCAAAAGTATGGAGATCTATGGAGATTATATACCTGAAAGAATTGTATTTACAAAATGATATCAACAAAAACATATGGGACTCGAAACAATAAACTTTCAAGGGTTTATGAAGAAGCAAAACTGGTTTAACTCACAGATATGAAGATGTCGGTCCCAGCAGGAATGGTGTAGCCATCTTTGTCACCTTTGTAACCTCCTGTCAATTATTTTGACAACCGCTGATTTATGTTTTGGTTCTTTTTTACAGATGCATCATTTAAATTCCCTCACATGCGATTTTTAACTCAGTTATTTCCAACTCTTTTATTGCTCTTCCATTTATTCATTTTAGATTTTTAAATCCAGAAACGTTCACTCTTGGAATCATCTTATCCTACATAAATGATATGATCTATATGCTGATAAGTAATAACATCAGTTTTCTATTTATTGACAAATATATTACCCTAGTTATAATACAAGCATTAACCGCACATGCGAAACATATCTGCTCCAAAGAAAACATCAATCTCCAACATACTGATGTTTGTTAAAACCAAACCCAAGTGTTTGAAACCTGAGAGAGAGAGAGTCTAAATGAGATATACCTGGCAGCACAACTTCTTCAAGAGCTCGTCTGATAAGCAGTGGAGGTTGAGGATATAAACGAAGAGCCTCTACAGCAATAAGTCTTATGAACCTAAAAGGGAAGAGCAGAATCCAGAATATCATTATACTTTCAAAAGACTGATATACCTGTAACCAGGTCACATGGAAATGAAAGGCTGTCTTCTAGTAATACGAAACAAATTTCCCATATAATAATCAGTTCACATATTCCATGACTGTAATAACCACATGAATACAATAATAGGACAATTTAAATGAGTGTCAACTTAAGACTGAATGGTATTTTGTAAACATTTATTGAAACTTACTCAACTTTGGACATCAATGGGGGGAGGGGGGATTTAAAAGTATAATTTGAAAATAAAATTGTGCATAATAATAGTTTAATAATAATTGTCCATTTCCATTAGCATGTGTTAGCCCCTTTTACAGCATGAACAAAAAACTTTTAGAAGCTAATTATAACATAAAGAAGCAGGAAGCTTTCATCAGAGTAATCTTGGAGACCTACTCTAACTTTTTAATTAATTCAAGAGTTGGTCTCCCCTGGCCCAGAACCGAATCGACCTCCTCTTGGGCTTTTTTCATTTTAGACGGGTTCTGCATTTTCACCAAAAAAACACACTTCAATATGACTCAAAAGTTGTGTGGCACACACACACACACACATAAAAGTGGCATGACAAAAGGAATGCTGCTCCAAGAGTTAGTAGTAGGGATCATACTTGTGCAAGAAGGAAAACAGCCCAAGTAAGAACAGCTGCTGTTGTTTCGTGGCCAGCAATAAGCATAGTCATTAGATCATCTCTCAGCTGTTAAAAAAAAGCCACAGGTTTGTATAAAATTCAATGAAGAATACCAGTTTAGCACATAAAAATGTCAAAAGAATTATTGTCTATGGACAGGTAGAACCAGCTAAAATATATTTTTACACCTACATTGAATGAAAAAAGGTATTTGTGCTGCCTAAAGTAGCAGGAACCACTAGGAGGTGGCTTCATTAACCCATGAAAGGAGACACAACAATAACAGACCAACGGAGAAATGTGGACGTAAGACTACTTTTACGATAAACTAGAATAACATCAACAAGAAGAAGCCATATTATATTGAGTTAATCCTATTCTTCAAACACAAATCAGCAGAGGATTTTTTTTTTTACCTGGCGATCATCAACATCTGCTCCCCTCATGTCCACCAAAAACCGCAAAAGACTTGCATCCTGAAGCCATTATGGTTACCATATCTAAATTTCTATAAGCTCTCTAAAACATATCTCATCCTAACGATAGAAGAAACAGGAAACATTTAGCCGAAAAACACTTCTATGATGATGTAACTGCACCTTAATATTCGAGTAATACCTTTGCTGCAGTTTTTCAACATCCGCTTCCTGTCATCAAACATGAGTAAAACTCAATATTTAGTGTATATCGGGCATGCTACAAGAACTCTTGTACATTTCTACCAATCTAATTAGCAAAAGAAAAAACTGCATTATACAAGATACGTTAGAAGTGTACCCAAATGTTGCAGTATTGGCTTCAATTTTGGTAAGACAACAACATACCAAAACAATTTATGACATACTCCACCTCTCCAAAGCCATTTATCTTTTTTATGCAGGTTAACAAGGATCACTCCTGTGAGACGAGAGTGTCTTGATTCTTGAATGGAACTAAAGCTTTCTCTATTTATCAGTGCTGAACTGCTATGTAAAATGCCAAAAGAAGGCCAAGAACCTTAAAAGTCTATCTCATCAGCCAAGTTGAGGGAACCCATGGTTCAGCCATAAATCTTGAACTTATTGTACCTGATTTGCCTTTTCAGGTGCGACTTGGAGGTTACGCCATGCTATACTTTCATTTTCTTTCTAATAAATGAGACATTCTTTGGGACTAATTGGTGTTACAGAAATGACACGAAACAAAGTAGCTTAAGGTTACTTTTCAAATTTAATATTCACTGTAGAGTGTAGGCATACACATATTTTTTGCTTAGTACAACGGACATTTCATGTTTTGAATCTAAACCAGCTTCAGTTAAAATTTGAGTAGTTATTCTAGAAGATCTAATGCATGAGATGTTATGATTCTAATAAATGAAACAACGCACTACTTATATTAGCACTTGGAAAGGAAAACTGTGGAGCTGAAAACCATAGTTTTGTGGTCATTCCCTCTTTTCTCATACTCAGAGCACTAGAAAGATAAGCATTCATTATATTCTCCACATAATGGTTCTTTGATGAAATAAAAGAGTCAAACTTATAAATGAAAAGACATGGTTTTCAGTTAAAATCAATAAAGAATAAGGAAAAAGAAATCAATAAAGTGTGACTGTGAAACTCATTTATGGATCAAATGCAAACCTCTCTGCTATCTTTTGCATTTTTGATGAGTCCATCTAGACAGTCATTGATGATCTTAAGGTCATAGTGAAATTTCCGTTGTCTGGGTACCACCCACCTTGCCAGAGGAATTTTCCAGTATGGGATGTAGAAAGTGGATCTATGTTCAGCTTCAAAAAGTGTACCATACACTGCCTGCAACATATATTAGAAAAGATGAGTAAGAAAATAGAGTGTAAATGTGGCTTAAACAGTAATGATATCATGCAATGTAACCTGGATACTGGAGGTTATAGTAACAGTTTAAACTAAAAACCTAGATATAGAATTAGTAAACATTGCAGATTATTTGCTGAAAACTTCTGTTTATCAAAGCAATGGTAAACAATTGGACATTAAATCGGTCACTATTGTCTCAATACTTCAGTCCAAAACCATCTGTAGTTTCCTGGTCCTCCTGATTAGCACCTCAGTCCACAATGCAACCAACATCCAGGGCTATGCCATCAAAATACTTTCTCAGATCTACTATGGATGTGTTAAAGACAAAGTATTTAAAGGACTTCATGTATGCACTATAAGTCGTAATGCACACAGGAAAGGGGATGGTAACAAGAAAATCTCATATTCTCATCAGATTATGTGAAATTTGCATGATAAATTTTTTTCCATGCTTGGAGAGGTCTGGGTAAGCAGCTAGATTTGAGCAACTTATGATGATAAGAATGGCCACTTAGTTCTTCACATGTCTATTTTAATTGAGTTGCAGGAACAGGTATGGCGTGTAGCAAGGGGTATAGCTAATAAGACTTTCCAACGGTACAACATATAAATGTGACAAATTGGATAGAAAACATTTTAATTTCATATGTGTTTGTGTTTATTACTTTACGTGGCTACTGTTAAGCAGTTAGTTAGTACCATGCTGAGGTGCTCTGCAAGGGATAGTATTGCCGGACCTTAATAACAGGAGACTCTTTTGTAACAGAACCAAAGTCATAGTTGAAGACACCAAGTCCAATAATATCCAGAGCCAAGCTTGAAAACTCTGCTTCAAGGTCTAACTCAACAGCATCTCCTCCACGTGAATGCTCACCGTCTAAAAGTTTTTCAAATTTCACTGTTGTTCGTTCTGAACAATCACTGAATACTTTGACCATAGCTTCCAAGTATAGTGCATGGAACCCAGGAGCAATAACTGCATATTTTTTTATCAAAATAAACATTACTAGAAATATTATCAGTGAAATTTTCTCAATAAAACAATATAATAAATTTAGAAAGCCATGAACATCTCCAGAAACTTAAATA